AACAACTCAGTGAAAAATGATCACATCGAGCTCAGTAAAGTAGCATTTTAAAGATAACACTCTATACTTTCATGTGCATTTGGTCCCATTACGCTGCGATACCTGATGCACACCATGCACCATCGCAAACACGGACCTTTGATTATCAATTTTGCATCCTCTCACTTTATCATCCGCCATTTTGAAAAAATGGCCGAGCATAATTGCCATTCAGATATTCTTAAAGAGGACGTTTCAAGCTTCATTTTGCATTTCTGCGCATATTTGTATCTTCATTATTTACCAAGTTATGATCATTTGAAATTTTGTAATTTTTTCCCAAATTTTTAGTGTATCGGGTTTTTTGCGTTTGAGTGTATGTCCCTCTTCAAGCAATGCAACTTTCATTCGAAAAATTTTTCAATAAAATCATCGATTTGCGAGGTAATCGCCCATATCACTTAAAATGAGACACCCTGTGTACAGCCAAAATCGAATATTTTATTCCGTCCGTACTCCGAGATCTCTTTACATAAAACGAGAGCGACAGACGCAATGTAAATAGCGGTGATTGCGAAGAAGTACCTGCAAAGTCGCTACATGATCGATCATCGTATTGGAATACGATAATTTATATTCGTCGTAACGTGATTCGATAATCTATATTCGTCGCGATGTAGTCGACGAATGTGATATTGATTATGGCTTTCATTATGAGTATCGAACGCTTGATTCACGATGATCTGAAGCATGCGTCAAACGAACGAACGCTCGCTGAAATGATATTCGCCGATGAAAAGGAATTGCGCGGTAGGTGCTAAACTCAAGCTATTGTATCGTCAACTGTGACGGAGCAAACGAAAAAATCGCAGGAGCGTTGTAACATCGTCTGTGGTGACAAAAGATTGATCAACGAAAGAAATCTACGACTTCCTATGAGGAATCGCGACTACTACTAAGAGGCAACAGAAGATGCGAGTCTAACGATGGATTCGATGCAAACGTCTCGAGACAAATGCCGACATCGAAATGGTGACTGTGGTAAACTGGCATGGTCGTCTCGTTTGCACATTTTTTCTATAATTTTTCTCCTCGGTATCGTAGCTTTGATTGTGTATATGTTGATTGCGTATAGTAAAACTGAAAATTTCGATCGCGACATGGAAAATACACACGACGGTGTCGCTACGAACGATACTCTTGTGCACACTCCTAATGCTGCTCGAAGTGAAATAAGCGACACTGACAGGGGCAAAGAACAGAGCAAGGAGTTTGAGGGTGCCCCTGCTTCGCGTCACAGTTTCGTGGCTACCGATTTGGACGAACGTGAGCAACCGTATGGATACAAACGCGCATGGCGACGAGAGCGCAGATTCTGAAGTGGAGGATAGAAAGTTAATTCTAGGGCTGAGAAAAGCGCAGAGTGATGCGATGAGAATTGTGCCAATTAGAGTGGGAAGGTGACTATAGATTTCAGCGGCAAAATGTATGACAACATTGGCGATGTAAACAGCGATACTGTTCTGAATGCTAACATTGTGACACTCCACGCAGCAAATGTAAAGTTGGTTGAAGCCACAATGATGATGATAGAAATATTAGATAGTGTTTTAGTCATAGCGAAGGTCATAATGAGCCAACTAGAATCATTTTGAACGTGTCTTACGGACGAAATGAGATACTTTTGTAACACAATATATAGTCAATATAATAGTCAAAGTCGAATATGTTATTCCGCTCGTATTTCGATATCTCTTCACATAAAACGAGAGCGACAGACGTAATAAAAATATCGACGACCTAGACTTGATGATTGCGAAGAAGTAGCCAAAAATTACAACGAAACACAAATAGGCGCATGTGTTCAGACAAAACTTGGCAAGACCAGAGACAGTTAATGCCAAAATTAAAGCATACGCGCGACCCCCGATCCCTTCGCACGAAACGATTTTTCCACCAACATCTCTTTTACAAGTACAGATTAGCGACCTACCGTTCCCTCTCTCACTCTGCGCCGAATCGGAACACTCGCACCTCCTCTATCATAGAACAGTCAAGAAGTACAATAGAGTCACGGATTACTGCTCTGTACTCCGGTACTTGCGTTAACATATATAGAATGGGCGATTTTTTGCGCGGGCTCACGCTGTCGACCGGCTCGACTCGATAGAACAAAACGTGAGCGACCGCGATGCGAAAAATATATACCGGGACTGCCTACAATATGAGGCAGTTCTGAAGTCACGCTTCTCGTTATGGCCATGAGTGAATAAGTTGAGAGAGAGAGAGAGAGAAAGAGAGAGAGAGAGAGAGAGAGAGAGAGAGAGAGAGAGAATAAGAGCAACATGTCTTTGCAATTCACGAATGAGTGTAAAAAGGGGCCTAAGAAGGTTCATCGTTAGCGATATCAGCAGGCTATACGTGCATGTCGTCTCGTCCCAGGACGATGCCGTCGAATCGAATACGAACGGCAATCCATTGAGAAACCACTGCGTGAGTTGCGAATCGTGTATGCGATAGGACGTGATTTCGACAGAGAACTGTTGATGCGTTCGTTATTCGTGGAAGAGACATTGCGCTATTGCGATAGGCAGTATTCAGACCAAGTTCGACAACTGTCTCACAGATGCACGGATCCTGCTAGCCAGTGTCTGGGAGGAACCGGATGCCTAATTGGCACGTTGTCCACCGGAATCGAGCACGAATACGTTCTCCAATGCGTCTCCTTGTACTTTTCATATTTCTATGATATCGAAAAAATCTATCGCGTGTCGGACGTGGTGTTACGTCGCGCAGGTTACTCGTCAACGGTATATCGGAATGCGCGACTGTTCGGCACTTGGTTAGATGCGAATACGCGAAAACTTTATATCGTGTGCGATCCGACCGATGTGGAGCGTGGCGTTCTGTTGGCCGAAGGTATCCGAGACGATCGAATAGCTATAAACGATGAACCTGCAAAGTCGCTACATGATCGATCATCGTATTAGAATGATAATCTACATTCGTCGCAATGTGATCGACGAGTGGCATCGATTATGGCTTTCATTATGAATATCGAACGCTTGATTCACGATGATCTGAAGCATGCGTCAAACGAACGAACGCTCGCTGAAATGATATTCGCTAATGAAAAGGAATTGCACGGTATGTGCGAAACTCGAGCTATTGTATCGTCAACTATGACGGAGCAAACGAAAAGTCGCAGGAACGTTGTAACGTCGTCTTTGGTGACAAGAGATTTATCAACGAAAGAAACCTACGACTTCTTGTGAGAAGTCGCGATTAAGGTCAGATGGTGTTTGTGTACAGCAGAAGGTACAAGTCGAACAATGGGTTCTATGCAATGCGACGTGATTTCTTCTCGCCGTCGGCAAATTGCCGTCGGCCCACGCGCCCCGGCCGCTCGCACTCGCACCAAAGTTGTTGGGCGCCAAGTGCAGCGGGCTGCACCGATCACCAACACGAAACGACAAACCACCAAATGGCCGAGACACGCGAATCCGACGAGACCGGCAGCTCCTCGATATTTTAAGTCGGTAGACGGGAGGGTTCGATCGGGAATCCGGGAAGTAGTCGGGAAAATGCAAAAGTAGCACTGCGCGTTTGGATTATCTCACTTTTATTTCACTGGAATCGGTACCGTCCGACCCCTCGATACGATACACTCCGCTGTGTGCTCTCGCGAATTCGGGACTTGCTCTGCGCTGACAATTAGTCCAAGACACGGTACGCACGGGACACCGAAATAGAAAATCAGGTGGACGGTCTTACACAGTCGGGAACCTCCCGGCGGCGTGGTCCTTCGATCTCCCTCTTCCGCTCGCTCTTACGCAACGCAGCCACCAACGGTAACTCCTTGGGCGAGTGGAACACGACAAAACTTCTCTCGCTAACGGCAAACGATACTCTTTTCTCTCGCTAACGGCAAACGACACTCCTTTCTTAACGATAGGCGATAATCGATCCGCAGTACTCGGAAGTAGACTGACGAAGTAAGAGAGAGCGAAAACGGTAGTTCACTCTTTTATTTGCTCCCAAAAACAATGTCTCTCCTTTCTTCCTTGTTGTGTCTCGAGGCTCTCCTCTCCCCGTTCCTCGTTTTCCCTTCCAATACGGGAATCCTTCCGCGGATCTTTGTTTTCGATTCGCGGGACGGATGTTCGGTCTCACTCTCGCGCGTTCTCTCTCTCTCTCTCTCTCTCTCTCTCTCTCGCTCCCGCTGTCTTTGCGCGCCTAGGCCGGCTTTGTCTAGCACGTGGTCACGCTTCGAGCACGGGAGCGACGATACATTTGCTTGATATTTCTACGGGCCTGTGGACAACGGAAACGGCAGCGAGAATCTTTTGAGGCGATACGGGAGTCGGTAATAAGAAAGATAAGGAGGAGCATTCACCTGAGGTGGCTGTCCGGGCGATGGGTGATGTCCTCTTCTTCTTCCTGGCTCCTCCGGTCGGTCCTTGATGGTCGGCGCAGGAGGTCCAGGGGTACAAAGCTCGGGGTCGCGGGACTGTCACACCTGCGCGCTCTTATCACTAACAATAATGCTAATTACAATTTCGGGGGAGGGTCCTTTGCAATTCGCGCACCCCTTAGGACCTTCTTCCCCCCCCCCCGCGCCTCGCGGTATAGGGCTCGCCATCTTGTGACGGGCGCCTCCGCGGCTGCCACGTCACAGCAAACGTCTCGAGATGAACGCGGCCATCTAAATGGCGACCGTAGTCAACTGGTGTGGTCGTCTCGTTTAACCATTCTTTCTATAATTTTACTTCTCGTCGTAGTTTTGATTGTGCATATGTGAATTGCGCATGATAACTCGGTTCACGATCAAATTCGTACGTACATCAAGCAACTGTCTAACATGAACTCACGTCTCGTAAAATTGGGTACGTTTTTGGAAGAACAATGAATACGCGCGGTATTATGAGAACGCTGAAAATTCCGGTCGCAACACGAAAAATGCGCACGACAATATCGCTCCGAACGAGCAAAGAGGTGTGAGTAATTGTACCGATACTAATATGCATAGTGGTGCAACAGACAGCATGAACAACGAAAACGACGAAATTTCTCGCGCGAGCGCAGATTTCAACGGCGACAAGAGCTATGTAAACAACGAAACTACTCGCATTGACGCGAGTGCAGATTTCAGCGGAAACAAGAGCGAAGATTTCAACGGCGACAAGAGCGCAGATCTCAGCGGCGACGAGAGCCACGTAAGTGACGAAACTTCCCGCATGGACGCGAGCGTAGATTTCAGCGGCGACAAGAGCGAAGATTTCAACGGCGACAAGAGCCATGTAACCGACGAAACTGTTCGCATTGACGCGAGTGCAGATTTCAGCGGAAACAAGAGCGAAGATTTCAACGGCGACAAGAGCGCAGATCTCAGCGGCGACGAGAGCCACGTAAGTGACGAAACTTCCCGCATGGACGCGAGCGTAGATTTCAGCGGCGACAAGAGCGAAGATTTCAACGGCGACAAGAGCCATGTAACCGACGAAACTGCTCGCATTGACGCGAGTGCAGATTTCAGCGGAGACAAGAACGAAGATTTCAGCGGCAACAGGAGCTATGTAAACGACGAAACTGTTCGCATTGATGCGAGTGCAGATTTCAGCGGAGACAAGAGCGAAGATTTCAGCGGCGGCAAGAGTGCAGATTTCAACAGCGACATGAGCACAGATCTTGGCGACGATAAGAGCTATGTAAATAACGAAACTCCTCGCATTGATACAAGTGCAGATTTCAGCGGCGGCAAGAGCGCAGATCTCAATGGCGACATGAGCGCGGAACTCAGCGACGATAAGAGTTATGTAAATAACGAAACTCCTCGCATTGATGCAAGCGCAGATTTCAGCAGCGGCAAGAGCGCAGATTTGCGTGATAGTGATAAAGTTTCGGACGATATCGCTTCGGAAATTCTTCCAATTGTAAATGTCGATTCACTAAGCAGAAATGTAGAAGATGGACGACGCAGGAGATCACGACCAGGCACATCGTCGTCTGGATTGAATAGTGTTAAGAGAAAACGTAGAGATATCAAAAGAAACGTAGATATCAAAAGTAAGTTTTATTGGTTAACGTGGTACATTGGATTCTTATTTATTTTTATTCGAGTCGTATGATATAGCAAAGAAGCTTTCGTTATCCAGCTCGTTCGATTACATCAGGCGAAGCATTAGGTAGCTGCGATATCACGCTTACATCACGGTCCAATAAAACTCGATGATTGCAAAGAACTGAGCGTGCGACGCTGTTCAAAAAGCGTCCAATAACTTCGGCCTCCTATTCGCAAGGGAGAAAATAATCATAAGTGTTGTCCAATATAGTTTGTCCAGTATGATTGTACAGTATGGCCAAGTTAGTGGCCGTTAGTAGCAGTGATAACGTAAGTTCAATTTTTCTCTTAATTTACAGCGTATCTGTAATCTGTAATAACAAGGTGCACAATAAAATACGATTGAAAAAAATACCGCAATTAAATTCTTACCGAGCAACTCAATGTGGTGAGTTCACGATGTAGTCAATCTGTCAAATTGACGCTATTGTGTAGAACAGTAGACTCAACCACTTAGAACTGTACCTCAGATATTATTTACGATCAGGATGATTGTCGTCCGACAGTACACCATTGATGCGTGCGTAGTTGATAGACATCATTGACGGGTAGCCGGAATGCATGGTTCATTTGTAACTTGACTTGTCTCGACGTATCTCTCTGAACGTGGCGAACGATAAAACAATTAATTAAGCGCTGATAAATGATCGAGAAACGCTGTGTTAAATCGAAAAATGTTTCAGACAAAAGTTGCATGACTTAAAGGAGCACATAGGACAGCAATATCGTTTTGTTTATAGATGGCGCCACTTTTAAGATATTTAATGATTGTTACTTTTCTTCAATGGAAATCTCAATTCTTATTATATTATCTTATTTTATCACTTAATTTGAGCAACTTTTATTCGAAACATTTTTTTATTTGCCTAATATTTTGTTAAATATTTAAGGAAAACTCTTTCATCATTTAACTTATGATATATCGCTAACTATTTGTCGGAAGAAAAAGTGGTATTAGACTTTTTTATTCCATTTGGTCCCTAGAATATATTGCTACAATAGTACCATAATTTTTTATTAACTTGTCGAATTTTGAAAATTTCTATATCGTCAAATTAACAAAAAATTAAGGCGCTATTCTAGCAATATATTTTAGAGATTAAATAGAATAAAAAAGTCTAATATCACTTTTTCTTTTGACAAATAGTGAGCAAGATATTATAAGTTAAATATTGAAGTTTTTTCTTAAATATCTAAAAAAATATTAGGCAAATAGAAAAATGCTTCAAACGAAAGTTGTTAAAATTTGTTCGTAGAAAAAGATGACATAATAAAAAATTGGAATTTCCATTTAAAAAAATAATGATCAGTAAATATCTCGAAAGTGACGTCATCCGTAAACAAAATGATATATTTTTTATATGTCCCCTTTGAAATTGTACAACTTTTGTCTGAAACATTTTTTCCTAAAATGTCGTGTTTACAAAAAAAACGTGGAAGGAGGCTGCGAATGATAGCGTAGGCCGGCCATTTATACGAGAGTGCAGGACGGCCATTTATACGGGAGCGTGAAGCTGAAGAAGTTATCAAGTTTTCCTTAAATATCTAAAAAAATATTAGGCAAATAGAAAAATGTTTCAGACGAAAGTTATTAAAATTTGTTCGTAGGAAAAGATGACACAGTAAAAAATTGGGATTTCCATTAAAAAAATAATGATCAGTGAATATCTCGAAAGTAGCGTCATCTGTAAACAAAATGATATATTTTTTATATGTCCTCTTTGAAATTGTACAACTTTTGTCTGAAACATTTTTTCCTAAAATGTCGCGTTTACAAAAAAATCGAGTGGTACTGGTGGTCTGTGACGTATATTTACAGCACATTTTGCATAAAAAGAGAACACCTTCAGCTATTAAATCGAAAATAATTCTATCAAATCAGAAATCTAAACTGTCTCTAGCTAATGTAGTTAATACACGAGTTTGCAATAGCTTCAAAGTTTATGCAAAGGCTTCCCGGGCCATTCGATTATCGGATGGTAGACGCTCGGAGTATAAAACACGTTCCCCGGGTTTTAGACGAAAACTAGCAATTGCATTATGTTCAGCAGGTCAAAATCCTTTGGGAATGATACGTTTTGTCCGTTTTCCACGATAAGCCGAGACCGATCCAATTTACCCATTCTTTTCACAAGTTTTTTTCAAAGATTGATATTTTAACAAAGATTAGGGTACTATTGTAGCAATAAAAATGTTTTCTGTTTCTGAAAATATATTAGTTAGCTTGAAATAACTTATTACAAGCCGACCGCAATGTTTTTGCAAATTTACTATATTTTTTATGAATTTTTATCGTTTGTCATTTTGCAATAATTTTAAATGCATCAACATGCCCTATGTATCAACCATCCTCGGTTTCTCCTACCTTTTCCGCCCAGCGCCAGGCAATTGATTCTGCGTGCGCAAGTGCATACGTCCCATTTCTGGAACGTTGTTGATGATGTTGTTGCAACCTGAAAAAAAGAAGCGAGGGGGGCGGGGAAAGAAATAAAGGTATTCATTATAAAGTATCTATTGTGGTTTATTTTTTTACAATTGTGCAGCGAGTACGTATTACATGTCAAATATGCTGCGTCAAATATGAATTACAAATTTAGAAAAAGAATGCGTTGCACTCGCTCATTCTCGAAACATTACATTGATGCTTTGCAACCGCGTTCGCGAAAGTAGATCCGTTGTAATTTGAAAACTCAAAATTTATAGCGATCCGTATGTTATGTTTTCGATTTAAATATGATTTTCGCGGTGCCTGTCGGGTTTCTTCACCTTCTAATTCGTGTGTAGCATTTGTTACTTGATAAAAATCTTTTAGGTTAGAATTAAACAATGATACAAAGCGCTCACTGTTCATATCGCAATTCGACGTTTCTGGAGCAGTAAACGTATCATATCCCTGAAACGATTTTTCTTATTGCTGCTGTTCCACAAGCGCCGCCACTTTCCGCTTTGAAGAAGGGAGTGTCTGGTACAATACTTTCTTTATTGTCTTTTCATTATGCCTAGCGTATATTGTACCGCACCGCACTGGATAACGATCGGGCGACCTGAGTGTTACGTCGTAAAGTAAAGAGCCGTCAGATTTACGCGCTAGGCTAAGTATTCCTAGGTTTGCCGAAAAAATAGGTGTGATAAGTACGCAGAAACCGTCATTGCAAACACAGAGTACAGTATATTTTCTACTCGCATAAAACGGCTGGTCGCGCAACATTTTGATCGGCTTTACGGTCCAATGACAAATGTTGAAATGCAGCGTTTGGACAATTTTTTGAATCATCGCAACAGCGTCTACGGACAAACGATTTGGTTTTTTTAATAACGCGGCAGTGCGAGTTATTCCGCATGACACAATAGTGAATGAAAATGGCAATTCGTCTAATATGCTTTGCGATGATTCTTTTATCGTTTCTTGCAATAATGACGACCATTTGTCCTTCGTTCGCTTTGAGCGCCTGATTCGTATATAATCGATAATTGTTTACGAGTCTTTATTATACCACGACATGCTAGGTTCTCTACTGTATACAGGGTGCACGATTTATCTGAAGACATTGAAATATTTCGAGAACTATGCATTGGATAAAAAAAGTGGTTAATGAAAGTTGGAAGTCTCGAAGGGGGACATCCAATGAGTTATTTGAAAAAAGGATCAATAAGTGTATTGAAGTTGAAGGTAAAAATTTCGAACACTTTAATTAATTGAACAGTGAGAGGCAAGGGGACTCACATTAAAAAAGCACCCCGATCTGTGAGAAGCAAGGGGACTCACATTAAAAAAGCACCCCGATCTGTGAGAGGCAAGAGGACTCACATTAAAAAAGCACCTGAAGGGAACAAAACTACTACGTCCTCGTCGTTGTTCCTGTGTAACGCTAAAAGTAGTTTCTCGGAAAAATTCAACGCTATCTATCACGAATGAAAAAAATTGTTTCAATAAAAATTTCACGTACAATCTAATTCTACAATGAAAAATGTGGGTCCTCATTTGAGATTTGAACGTTATCACCCACCCTACCCCGAGAGGATGGGGGGAATAACTTTTATTATGTTCTTTAAAAATATTGAACAGATATTTTTTATTTCTCAATCCAATGATCATTTCTGGAGAATTGCGGAAAATATAATTTTTTGCGATTACAGCGCCATCTATCACGAATAAAAGTTTCGGACAAAATTTACGTATTTTATGGCGTAGAATCCGTATCTGCAATAAAAAATGGGGGTTTCCATTTAAGATTTCAAAGTTGCCCCCAACCCCCACCCCCAGGAGGTGGGGTGGGAGGTCGAGTTTAGTATCATTGGATGTCCCCCTTCGAGACTAACAACTTTCATTAACCACTTTCTTTATCCAATGCATAGTTCTCGAGATATTTCAATGTCTTCAGATAAATCGTGCACCCTATATATTAACAATACCTTCGGATAAAAATTCATAAGTTATAAAAGTTTAGGCGATTGTATATCGACATCTGCAGAATTTGATACGTCAAAACCGACTCTATTGATCAAACACCAGGGCACAACGTGATTAAATTGGCACAATAGATTCTCTAGAAGTTCTTGACAATGTTCCCGACTAGGCGATGTAGAGATCGCACTCACTTGCAAGACATCCTCGTGGCACGCGCGTCGAAATTTGTCCAGGTGTGCTTTGATGTAAGCCTCGGATTCTGCATTCGGACACTTGACGATCACTGCTTCATTCAACATTCCCCAAGAACGAGCGTTGTTATGCGATGAGACGATAGCCATATCTTCTGCGGGTCCGTTGAGAAAAAGGTCACTTGCTTCCGCCACTTGTGGGATATCTATATTTTGCACACTGTACTCACGTTCGAAATTTTCATTGGATGTAATACCTAATTGCTTCATCCAACTTGTCGTACTGATGTCCAAATTAA